GCAGGAGGGGTAACCCATGGGAGGGCATGGGTCCTGCAGGCACGTTCTGCCTGTGGCCTGCTGAATTGTAGATGTGCCGTTTGGGCCAGGTTTTGTGATAAGCTGGCTCTCTCGGTGGTGAGGGGCAAACTGCTTCACTTCCTGACCTAGAATCTCTTATCTGCAGCCTTGCAGATCCATTCCCTGCCCTTCCTACCGGCCCCTCGCAATGGGAACAGAGTCCCCCGTCTCTGGAAAGTAATGCTAAGAAAACAAACACTACAAAGGCTGGTAACAGGGGGATGTCTCTCTTGAATGTTTTTTGTGACCATCTAGGTTCAAGGAGGAGGGGGTCCCCCAGCTACGTGAGCCAGCAGGGTCTCTTTGTAGTAGGCATCTGTATGTTTGGCCAGATGTCCTCCCAGTGGAGGGCAGAGAGGGAAAGATAAAACAGAATTCTTATGAAAAATAAGTCTTGGGAGGGAGAAAAAACAAGACGGAGAAATTGTGTCAAGTAGGACGGGAGGCCAGGCGGTGTCATCTGACATTGATTAAATGCTGATAGAGCAACGAGAGATGCGTGTCACTAGGAAGTGACCCTTGTTCTTCAGCATGTGAAGCAGTGACAACTGTCTGGGAGCAGATCTGCGTGAAGACCACATGCAGAAGATGTCCAGTGGCAAACACAGCACCAGCACGCATGGTGAGAAGGGGAGGAAAGGACCCCTGCACTGGACGTCAGGGCACGTTCCTTCTGATTCTGCTTTACCTCGCCGGCCTCACTCTCTACATCAGTAACACAATGATGCTTGACCGGATGACCTCTAAGCAATGCTCTAGTCCCAAATTCTGTTATCTATCATCATCTGCCCTCTGACCAAATCTTCTGAGGCTCTTCTAATGGAATGAAAGAAATAGGCATAAAGAGTTCACCCACCACAGTCCTAAAATCCAAAAGGAATGAAACCCTCCATCAACTATAAAAGTGTCATCCAATCTTTGCACAGCATCCCTGGGTCTATCCTCCTTCTGTGTTTTACAGTTACCACCAAAGCAAGTTAATTGCTTTCTGAACATGAGATGTGGCATATCTCTGGGTCTACCTGTGCTTCCCCCACTCCCAATTCCAAAAATATGCTCACTCTAACTGGATATAAGGGGTCTTTGTTTCATTTTAAACTGCCAGATTATAGAGAGCTTACGAGCAGGTGTGTGTGTGTGTGTGTGTGCGTGCGCGTGCGTGTGCATGCGTGCACGCACGCATCCTTTAGTTAAGGGTGAACGATTGAAAGTTTTCTTTGTTTTTGTTTTTTTCTTTTTGGCATCCTCATGAGGTCAGCAGTATTTTGTTACAGGGTGAGGCTGGATTCCAGTGGGAATGGAAGAGGAATCTTCCACTGAGATCAGAAGATCTCACACTAGGATGGTGGCAGTGGAAATGGATAGGAAAGCTTGACCAGAGAGGCACCGTGGCGTAGGGGAGAGTTCATGGCGTTTGGAGTCAGACAGGCCCAGGTTCGAATCCTGGCTGTGATGTCTATGGGATGTCATTTCAGCTCTCACTACCATGCCATCTTGAAGCATTATTATATGAATTAAAGGTGATGTAAAGTACCTATGTTAGAGGCTGGCACAGTGTAGGCAGTAAGTGAACATCAGAAAACTGTGGATGAGATGATCATGACAAAAATATCCGCAGGAAGATTAGCAGGGTCTGATGACCTGTTGAGTTAGAGAATAAGTATAAGAGAAGACTTCAAGGTGTCTGAGTTTGACCACCTGGGGGATTGGCATGGTAGGAGTATTTAGGTTGGATGGAAATAAAAAAGTTGGGTGAAAGCTGGAGATCTGGTTTGGCAGGGCTAGTACCAAGGTCAGTTTTGGACACGAGCGATGGCACTGAAACATCCAGGTAGCAGTGGAAGGAGGAGGATGGAAAGGAAAAGGAGTCAAAGAAATGAGAAAACTGCGATGCTGCGAAGCTGATTAACTCTAGGTCTGTTTGATCAGTAAGTCTGACTTTACAGCTTTACCTTCAAGGAATTGGCTAACCAAGGTTGATCCAGCGTATGACCATCTTCTAAAACAAACCGTAGCTCCTCAAAATGTGTTCCTCCAACGAAGCATCTCCTGGACCTTTTTAGAAATACAGAATTTTAGCTCCTGCTTCAGACCTGCTGAATCAGGATCTGCATTTCAAAAATGTGATTTGTAAGCACTTGATGGTTTGAGAAGCACTGTTCTAAAGCATGGTGACCAGACCAGCAGCATCACAGCCCTTGGGAACTTGTTAGAAATCCAGATTCTCAGGTGCCTTCTCAGACTTCCTGAATTAGAAAGGCTGTGTTTCAACAAGCCTTTCGAGTGAATCCAGTGCACCGTGGAGTTTGAGAATCATTGCTCTAAGTCATGGAACAGACAGATTGAGCCCCCTCTCCTTGCGTGTATAGCCCAGAACACTGGAGAGATTGGTTAAACCCTGAAACTTAATTTGAGTCATTGTTCTATGCTGTTTCTCTCATCATTTTGCATTAAACACAGCTGAAGAACTCTTTTCACCGAAGAAGGGCACAATGCGTAAAATTACAAACCAAAGGAGAGAAACTTCAGCTGTGGCTTAATCTTCACAATTTACCCATCAAAAGTTATTGAGCACAATCATAGAAGATCAGTCCTTTATATGCTATTGCTCCTGGGAGACGCTATTAGTAAGACACACATAGGGAAAGGAAGACTCTTGCGATACTCCTTACAATGTGATTTTCACATTAAAATGTCAAGAGTCTATGTCTTCTGTGTTTCTCATCAGTCCGATGGCAAGTTCCTTTTTAATGGGTTAGTTTCTGGAGTCACTTGCAGAAGTGTTGGTGGTTTACCACTTAGACTAGAATGTTTCTCAAGAAGTTCAGCTGTGAGCACTAAAAATTTACCTCCTCTCATCAAAAATGTCTGGTTTTTCTGGTTGTTCCCTAGTTGTTATTTAAATCACTGTGATAACTTAAATAAGGGTCAGTGTCTGTTTTCTGTATATATGTAATGTACAAAGATGGTTATATATGGAGCATTTTAATCATAAAATTACCTATATTTTCTGCTATAGGTTATAGTACAGTATAGCTAGGGGCATGCTGGTAAAGCAATTGAGGGTGTGGGAGGGCATCATTTTGTAGTGTTTGCCAATTTCCATGGTGTAAATACTCCTCCAGGGTTGATTTCAAGCTGCCAACTGTTTAACAACCGGTTCCCAAAATTCCTACAAATTTGACAATTGACTCTTGCAAGCCAGTAGGAACTAGCTCGAGCACACCAATGAAACAAACATCAAGGGACAAGTCACAATTTTTTTTTTTTTTTTTTTGCTGTGCGTGGTTCTCTCACTGTTGTGCCCTCTCCCGTTGCGGAGCACAGGCTCTGGACGCACAGGCTCAGCGGCCATGGCTCACAGGCCCAGCCGCTCCGCGGCATGTGGGATCTTCCCGGACTGGGGCACGAACCCGTGTCCCCTGCATTGGCAGGCAGACTCTCAATCACTGCGCCACCAGGGAAGCCCCAGTCACAATTTTTTTGTTGTTGTTGCTGGTTGTGTCTGAATTACTGTAGGTCCAATAATGGCTGACACAAGTAGATTTGGGTGTTTTAAATCTCTTGTCATGTAGAGATCTTTATTGAAATTATAATTATCATAATGGAATGTGATCTTGAAACTGTTCTATGAGACAAAGTTCTCTATTTTCAAGTCATTAAATACGTTTATAATAATATAATGGCGAGATTTAAAGTGCTTGTGTTGTTCAAGTATGTTTAATTTTAAAATACCACTCATCCTATAAGAGGGCATGTGTAAAAACTACATTCTTAGTTATGGTATTTGAACCAAAATGCAAAAAGATACTTTTGAAATGTGTTTTTGGTTACTATTATTAAGATTTGACTTTTCTTACAGGTATTCAGGAAGGAACACAATGTACCAAATGTAAAAATAACTGGGCACTGAAGTTTTCTATCATATTGTTATACATTTTGTGTGCCTTGTTAACAATCACAGTAGCCATTTTGGGATACAAAGGTAAGTACTCTTTCCTTTTTCCTTCCAAACAGCAAGTTTTCTTTCATTAATTTAAGCCTGAAAAAACAAGGACATTGGCAAGTGTGAAGTATTTCATTAATATAACTCTTGCCAACAAAACTTAAACATCTTAAGCTCCATCTTTGTGTCTTGAGCTTCTTGTAGCTGTGGGACCTGAAAGGAGAGAAGTAGCAATTCCTTTTGAGTCATTTCAACCATAAACATGGTCCTCTATGAGTTATAAAATTTTTTCCTCTTTGTTGCTTTTTCCTACTTATTTCCAAATACTCCCTCTTCCTCTATCTTCTTCCATCTTATCTCTAAGAGGCCCCACGAAAACCCTGGAGTCAGCACATGGGAAAACTGTATTGACAGAGGATAAGACCTCCAAGAGATACGACTTACTTCACCTAGGAACTGGCCAATTAATTCCCTTTTTTTCTCTTCAGCACCTTCATTGTGGTCACTGTTCATATACCCCCATAAAAATACCACCCTGTAGAAATTAAACACAGAGGCGGCACCACCACCTCAACGGTACTTTCTGGCACATCAGGCATTCTTTCAACATGTCCGGTTTAAGGTCAGTGGAGGATTTTTGCCTGAATCCTCCAGATCTGCAAAGTGGGTTGGTCCCCCCACCCCCCGTTCCAGACACCGCAGGTAGAAGGCGCCCTGATTCAGAATCACAAACTACGTAAACCTTTTATAGAAAACAGCCATGGGGGACTTCCCTGGTGGCGCAGTGGTTAAGAATCCGCCTGCCAATGCAGGGGACACAGGTTCGAGACCTGGTCCGGGAAGATCCCACATGCTGTGGAGCAACTAAACCCGTGTGCCACAACTACTGAGCCTGCGCTCTAGAGCCTGTGAGGAGCCCGTGCACCGCAAGCTCGCTGTAACTAGAGAAAGCCTGTGTGCAGCAACGAAGACCCAACACAGCCCTAAATAAGTTTATTTATTTATTTATTTATTTATCTAAAAAATAAGAAAAGAAAACAGCCATGGAAGCCTCACAGAGACATGCGAGATAGATGTGATGTCTGGTTTCAGCAAGAGGCAGACATGGGGTCTGTTGATCTTCGCTCTGCCTTCCCTCAGCACTGACAGATTAACAGTGGAGAATTCCCACATGTTCCCTTCTCTGTTCCTTGCCCCATAGACTTGACCTGGGGACAGAAGGATGCAAGGTGAATTCCCTCCAGCTTGTAACTCCTCCCACTGCTCTCCCAGTGTTTATCGGTTTCCTGAGAAAACAATGTACTGGAATAAGAATGGGCTTTGGAGCCAGACGGTCCCGGTCCAGTTCTTGAGTCCACCATTTGTAATGCAATCGTGAATGTTTATTAAGTGCTCGCTGGCGTGCCGGGCATCACGCTAAATCCTCTGCATGGCTGTGTAACCTGGGTATGAATCATAACCCCTTGGTGTTTCTGATTTCTTATCTGTAAAATGGCAATAGTAATGCCACTCTTCAAGGTGATGGCGATGAGCAAAGATGATGTAACTGAGCCACCTGTCCTAAGGTTGGTCCCAGTAGCGAGTGGCTGAATCTCTCTGTTCTTTGCTTCTTCATAACTGCGTTTTTACAGCTCTAGCTATGAGAATGGCAAAACATGTTAAAAAATACTCAGTATAGTCAGGGCTTGTTAAGTCCACTTTTAAGGCTATTTCCATGGAAAATTGTGTGCATCCTGCAGTGGGCTGACTGATGAACTTGGGCAATGGAAGTCTGGAAAATTACCAGGTCATTCTATCCATTTGCGATGAGTTAATCTAACCTAGGATTAACAGAGCAAGTGTTAAGAAAGGCTATTAAATCATGGCGGGGCTGGACAGAGGGAGGCGGGGGAGGAAACTTAGTGGGGAAAAGGAAGGTGTTTTATGTCCCAGGTAGTTCAGCCTGGTTGTCTTCTTTTACTGGGTCATTTAGGTCATTACTCACTTGACAACTTTTCCTAGTGAACTCAGATAAAGGAGATGCTTGAAATCAAACAGTCATTTAATAGGTATCTTTAGGGCTCAGCACTATGTGATATGAAAGTAAACAGAGATGAGAATGGTTTGAAGAAATAGCTCTGTATGGTATTTTGGTATTTTTACCTCTGCAAAAAGATAAGGTCTAGGATCTTTATGCCTTAGAATTATACAGAAAGATACAAAATAGGGGGCTTTGTTTATTTTTAAAGTACAGATATTTCCTCCATTTTTATGACAGTAGAAAGCCCTTCTCGGCTCTGGCATATTTGTGTGGGCTGGTCCATTCACCCGGAACACCTTTTCCCTGTTCTCCACCTTTCTCTTTATGACTTTCTCTTCTTTCCCTTCATGTCTCCCTCAGACACATGTACCGCAAGAAGTCCCTGAAAGCTGAGTTGGGTGCCCTCCTGCTGGTCCCCATGGCATCCTTTTTTACTCTTAGCCCCTGTCGCACTATATCGTTATGGCCAGTGGGTCTGTCTCACCACCCAAACTGTAAGCTCCACGAAGACAAGAGACTCTCTTTTATTTATCATATCTCCCGCTAGCACCTGGCTCATAGTACGTAATAGTTACCCAATAAAGTTTACTAAATGAATTAATGAGAAGATGGATGGATAGTTGCATGGTTGAATTGTAGATTAGGGCCGACTTCTATAAAGGCAGTCAATCAATGCCCAGGGACCTCTAAGCCAATTGCTGCGACTCAAGGCCCTACCTAGAAGCTTAAAATCCTGAAGATTACTTGGCCTGCTCTGGGGTGTATCTCGCCAGGATGAAGGGCGGGGAGTGAGACAAGTTGGAGTCCCCTCTTTTCCTCCTTCAGGGTCCCCATCCCTCAGGCTTCTAATGACAAAAATAAGGTAACACAACATGCAATTTTTGTCTTTAAACACAGCCTTAATGAGCTAAAATGCTGATATTTTCCAGATGTGTTTTCCCTTTACTTGAACAGTGATTCCTCTTTCTTGCTGATAAGATTCTGGTGACCCAACATGGTAAGAGGCAGAAAGATAAGTTCTCCCTTCACACATCTCCCTTTGAAGTCTGGAGGAACTCGCTCCACTTAAAAAAAAAAAAAAGGGAAGAAAGAAACAAAAAAGAATATTCAGTGAAAAAGAGGTTTCTCTCGAGGAGAAGTTGGAAGGAAGTGAAATAGAAACTCCTTTATCAGAGTTTGCAAAGGCAATTCCATGGTGTTTTCCTCAAAACTGTTCTTTACTTCTCCTTTTATGTCACTTATGCAGCTACAAGTTAGGATGTAACTTAAGCTCCTTCCAGAGAATTTGCTGATCAAGTCAGAGGATTGCTGAGTCACCCAGACAGGTCAGTACACTGGCTGTGACAATGAGGCATGTCAGCCACTTTACAGAAAGCACATTCTCAGACAGTTACAGCTTGGTGCACCCTCTGTCCTGGACTCTTTATCATCGGTCAGTGAAGCTTCCATGACAGAAGCCACCTCCTAAATTCAGTGGGTCATTTTTCCTCCAGAACATTCCCTGAACAGGAAAATCCTAGTCTGTGGTCCTGCCCAGCAGGCATCTACCTTAAGGGAATTAGGATAAAGATGAAAGACAGACATCTGGATCTTTTTCAGTAAGAACCTACTCTGATGCAACATTCCTAGTCATAAATGTCGGCCTTGCTGCTCGGCTCTACCAAGGTGGCAGTTGCAGCTGGATAAGTAGGCTTTCAGATGTGCATCAGATCACACTGTGTAGCTGTTGTCAGAATCCACGATAACACCCTATAACCAGATCTTCTGTATTTTTGTAATGAAATATGAAATAGTGTTCAAGGTAGAAATGTCTTTATTACATCACGAAGGAGCATAACTGGTATTACTGGGAAGTCCCAGGTACCAGCAGGGGGTGTGTTTCTCAGGACCACAGTCAGGCTGGTACAGACCCTCGTGAGCACCCGGCAGGAGCTCTGTGCTCTGCTCTTGTTCCCTGTCCCCAAGGCCTGGGCCATGAGCTACGTCTCTTGGATCCTCCATGTCCAGCTCTGGGCCACAAACCTGGCAGATACTTGGTAAACATCTGAGGTTGATGACTGTAAAGGGGAGATAAAGAAGACATAGTCCTTCCCCTGAAGGGACTTTTCTTGGAAGAAACCATATTTAGGAAAAAGAAATACTGGATGAAAGGCAATGTGGAATTATAGAGCAAGCATGGATTTTAGAGTTAGATCTCCTGGCCTGGTATCCCACTTAGTCACTTATAAGCTGTGTGAGGGACTTCCCTGGTGGTCCAATGTTTAAGACCCCGCACTTACACTGCAGGGGGCGTGGGTTCAATCCCTGGTCAGGGAACTAAGCTCCTGCATGCTGTGTGGCCAAAAAAATAATAAACATTTTAAAATTTAAAAAGTAAAGTGTAGATTTTTACCCCCCCAAAAATTAAAAATAATAAGCTTTGTCACTCTGGACAAGTTACTGAACATCTCTGAGCCTCAATTTTTTTCATCTGTATAACAGCAGTCATAAGGATTAACTGCAGTGACGATGCAGTGCACCTTGCAAAGAGCAGGCAATCCACAGAGGCTGTTTTTATTGCCATTCAGATAAAGGGTCCATTGGTGTGGAATCAGATCATCAGGCAAGGCTTAGCACGATGGGCTGGTGAGATTCGGAGTAGACCTTAAAGGACGGTGGAATCCAGACGAGGGAGAAGGAGGTTAGTGGCCCAGGCCAAGGAATGATACCAACATGCTTTTATAGAAAAGGTATTATTGTCAGATGATCCTAGAGAATTGAGTTTTGGGTACTTAAAGAAGGGCAACACTTCAGATATGACACCTAAAGCAATGATACTTTGAAGAAAAAAATCTGTCAAGAAACACTTTCCAATAAAGGGGAGCCTGTGAAAAAACAGACTGCTCGTGACCCTTCTGTGTTTCATGTTTGTTTTCCTCATATGAGAACAATCTACAAACTGAGGTCTCCCTCCAAAGATGGGGAGTTTCCAGGGTCAGAGAGGATGGTCTGCCACTATTTTCCTGACAGAGAATTTGTGCTAATGAGTTAAGAGTAAAAAAAAAACAGCGAAAATGCTATGTGCTATTACAGCAAGTGTTACTTCTGGATCTCCATCAGTCTAGTATTTTAAAGCAGTTAGCAAGCTGCCAGTTTTGCAGCCCTCAAGTTTGCAGCTTTATACCCAGATCCTGTGTTTTTAAACACAGACACACAGGCAGTGGTGCATGTAACCAATTCATAATCCTTGTGGGCGGGGCAAAGAGTTTCCTAGCACCAAGGAGAAACCTAACAGGTTTTTGGGTTTTTTTCATGAACGTATTTATTCCTTTTACTCTATACAAACCTGAATTAGCTGTCTATGACAGTTCTGTGTTTTTAAAAAGTAAAATGGAAGAAAAATTAGAGAGGGTAGAAAATGACTGCCTGTCAGCATATTCAGAGGTTTCTTTGGCTTCCAGGAAAAAAGGTCAGGACTTAAGATCCTGTATGTGGTTTGAGGACAGACTGAGGCATGTGTTTGATTTGAGGATCAAAACTGAACCTAAACTTGTAAACATTCTTTTTTTTTTTTTTTTAAAGGGTAGCTTTGCTAAAATGTAGATGAAACATTTTGTTCTTCCCATTTTCCAGGGATTTAGGAATGTGCATGCCTATCAGACAACCCTCAGATTATTATAACTATACCTCTGTGTTTATATAGTCATCTTAAAAAAACGATAATTATTCAACTAAATGCCATACTCATTGCCAGTGTCGAGGCCTCCCTGCATTGGTTGGTTTATACGTTTGTTTGCATAACCTCTAGCTCAGTCGATTTTTTCCACAGGCCTCAGCAGCCAGCAGGCAGATTCTCATTTATTTAAATAAACGGTGTAATGAATAAGTACGTGATGAATACCTACTACGCGCCACACACTGAGCTAAGAGCTGGAGATAAAACCAACACAAATTGTCCTGCCCTAAAGGGTCCTAGAGTAGAGAAACCATGACAACACAGTGACGAGAGTCCTATAATCGGGAGAGAGACCCCTGCAACATAAACTTCAGCAAAGATTTCCCACAGGACGTGACCAGCTGAGTCTTGAAGAGCAAGGAGGGCTTAGCTTGGGGAAGAGGCCAGGGAAGAACATTCTAGGTGGGGAGAAGCATGCATGGAAAGGCTTGGGGGAGAAAGAGCGTTTGGTGCAAAGCACATATTTCATTATG